AGAAGAAGGACGGATCATGGAGAGTATGCAATGATTACAGAGCATTAAATGTTATTACAATTAAGGATAATTTTCCTATTCTGACTGTTGATGAATTGATTGATGAACTTTATGAGGCTCGTTACTTCTCCAAGATGGACTTAAGGTCTGGATATCATCAAATATTGTTGAATCCAAATGATTGACATAAAACAGCTTTTTGTATACATCAAGGTTTATATGGATGGCTTGTAATGCCATTTGGATTGTCAAATGCACATGCAACCTTTCAATATCTTATGAATCAAATTTTCAATGGCTATTTGAGGAGATTTGTAGTAGTTTTTCTTATGATATTTTGGTGTATAATGCTAATTGGAAAAGTCACTTGCAACACCTTGAGTTATTGTTGAATATTCTACAACAAAATCAGTTACTTGCTAAATTCTCCAAATTCATTTTTGGAGTCCAGTAGATTGGATATTTAGGTCATACATTGTCTGGAGATGGTGTCAGAATGGAGATTGAGAAATTGGAAGCAGTCATTAAGTGGAGTAAACCTACTACAGTCAAACAGTTAAGAGCCTTTTTGGGCTTAACAGGTTATTATCATCGCTTTGTTAAGGGATATACTCAAATAGTTGCACCACTCACTGATTTATTGAAGAAAGATGCATTCAAGTGGTCCACATCAACAGATCAGGCCTTTCAAGAGTTAAAGTTAGCTCTTAGAACTGTTCCGGTACTCGCTCTTTCGAACTTTGTTGAAACATTTATATTAGAAACATATGCTTCTGGTTTGGGTATTAATGCACTGTTAAGCCAAAACAAACATCCCATTGTATATTTTTCAAAGAAATTATCAACAAGGATGCAAAGGCAATCAACATATGCTAGAGAATTCTATGTTATCACTAAATCCATGGCTAAGTTTTGACACTACTTGTTGGGACACAAATTCATTATTAAAACATATCAGAAAAGCCTTAAGGAATTGGTGGATCAAAAGCTTCAAATGTCGGAGCAGCAATAATGGCTTCCAAAATTTTGGGGTATGATTTTACAATTCAATACTCCCGTGGAAAGGAAAATATCCCAGCTGATGCATTATCTAAAATTTTTCATATGGCGTGGTCTGAGCCTTTACATTAGTGGTTAACAGTAGTAGAAGAGGTCACAAAGCAGGATAAACATTTGATGAAAATATATAATGATTAATGTTGGAAGAAGTGGAGACTATGCAATACACCAAGAGGTTCTTACATGGAATGGAAGAATTATGATTCCTAGAGAGGAAAAGTTAATTAAGACAATTATGACTGAATTTCATTCATCTAAAATTGGGGGTCATGCAGGTATTCATCGTACAGTGGCACGAATTAGTGCTCAACTCTACTAGTCTAATATGAGGGAAGATATACGACAATTTATACAAGAGTGTACCATATGTTAGCAAGCAAAAGCAAGTCAGTCCTTGCCTGCGGGTTTACTTCAACCACTTCCCATACCAAAACTAATTTGGGTAAGACATTTCAATAAATTTTATCACCTCACTTCCCTTGTAACACGGCTATTCTAACATTATGGTGGTTATAGACAAACTTTCTAAATTTGCCTATTGTATACCATTGAAACCTAGCTTTAACAGCAAGTTGGTGACAGAAGCTTTTACCCAGAACATAGTCAAGTTATATGGGTTTCCAAAAACGATTGTATCGGATAGAGATCGAGTGTTTATCAGTAACTTTTGGAAGCAGTTATTCAAAGCTCAAGGTACCAATTTAGCCATGTCATCTGCGTACCACCCACAATCCGATGGCCAAACCAAAAATTTAAATAAAACATTGGAGATGTATTTAAGGTCCTTTGTTTTTTGGCATCCTAATTTGGGTGGACATGTTACCATGGGCTCGGTTTTAGTATAATTCCTTTTTTCATCAAAGTATCGTCATGTCTTCGTATCAAGTTGTTTACGGAAAATCACCGCCACCGATATTATGGTATGAATATAACAATAATGATGCACCAGATCTTAGAGAGTCTTTACAATCAAGAGATGAGCTTTTAATTAAGCTTAAAGCCAAACTACACCAGTCACAAAATTATATGAAGTTGTAGGTTGATAAACATAGAAGAGATGTGCAGTTGCAGGTGAGGGATAGGGTTTTGGTTAAACTACAACCCTATAGACAACATTCGGGTTTTAAGGAAGAATCAGAAGTTGAGCTTGCAGTATTTTGGACCATTTGAAATTATTGAGAAGATTGACAAAGTAGCGTATAAACTTCGGCTACCAGAATCAGCTAAAATATATCCAGTGTTTCATATTTCATTGTTGAAACCCTTTAAGGGGGATCATAATCAGCCATACTTTCCTTTATCTTTGACAACGAATGAATTTAGACCATTGATGTGCCAACATCGAATTTTAGATACTCACGTGGTCACTAGAAATGGCAAGGTGGTGTCTGAAGTGTTGGTCCAATGGGATTCTAGTTTAGATTTGGATAATTCATGGGAGCAAGTCAATGAAATGAAAAGAGCATACCCACATTTCAACCTTAAGGACAAGGTTTCTTTTATAGGGGGGAGTAATGTAACAAATAATGAGGTGAGTGAGGTTGTTATTAGTAATGGCCACATGTCAATGACTGAAAAGGTGAAAGATGTGCACAAAAGTGACAGAACCAAGAAAGAGAATACTAAATGGAAGGACTACGTGTAGTGGAGGGATATTTTTTAGGCGGTATGAAAATCCTTCTCTCTGATTATGCTCACTGAGCATTCTCTGGGCACCCCCATTTTCTGTCTCTGTCTTGTTGTATTACTCTTAGTCACCAAACTTCTATGCTCCATTGCAGGTATGGCATTGAAGAGGAGCAGATTCTAATTTCACGGATGAATAGAGATTTGAATTTCTTTGTATTGTTGATTAACTTTGAACTATTGATTTTTGAGATATTAAATGCAGAAATAAATTACAGAGTTATCATTACTCAGTTTTAATATTTAGGCTCTTGGTTCGTGATTACTGTTTGATTGAATATTATTGTTGAAACTTGTTTGTTATACTATCTTCTTTTCGTTTTGAACAGGGTTAAACTAGAAAATTTTGACAATTTCAAACCAATCAAATATATAGAATTTTAATTATTTTTAATTTAAATTATTATTAATTTATAATTTTATAGTTTAGATAAAGTACTTTAATTATTACCAAAGTCCTTATGTTAGATATATTAGTTTATTTAAGTTGTTTTCCAAGATGTCAAACATAATTTGAAATTGGTGTTAATGTTGTTGGTGAAGGTTAGTTTTGACTGACTTTTTAATCTATGTTAGTTGAATTTTTTTTTTTATCTGCGATCAAAAGTTTCACCAATAAAAATAAATTCTTGACTAACTTTAAACAAAACAATAACTGACGTTTTATAAAAATATCAAACAAAAGAACAACTCCTATCTACATGGAAGGATTAAAAGACATTGACTCACATAAGAAGAAAAATAATCTTATTAACGTCAATAAAAGAAGCATGATTGGTATTGACCAAAATATAATCCTTCCATTATTGGCGAAGTAAACTCTTATTAAAGTTTGTTAAGCCGATCTATATTAGCAAAAACATAACTTGGATCCACATCAATCAAAAAATAATTTCAACTAACATAAAAAAGAAATAACTTCAATGATGTCAACGAAATAAATGTGCTTAAAATCAATTAAAAAAATTGTTGATGTTAATTAAGACCGAAAAATATTACTAGCTTACAATAAAGAGAATGACTAAAAAAATACTACTAGTCCAATAAATATGGCCGAATCAACAACATCTTAATTAAGACAGACCTAATAACATTTTAGGGCCGAGACTGAGTTGATGATGCTCAACTGAGACAAATCAACGACGTCATGACTAAAACTAAGGCTACGACATCCTAACCCAAACTAAGTCATCTACATATTGATCAAGACCATGTCGAGAACATTGTGAAAAAAATTCAGTCAACAATACCTTTAGTCTCAACCAAACAAAGGAAAAAATATTAAAGAAAAAAGGTGAATATAAAAATTTTCAAATTTTTACTTTTTACTTTTTAGATAAAAATTGAAATTTTATAATTTTAAGTAATTGAATTATTCTTACAATATATATATATATATATATATATATATATATATATATAAATTTCCTATTAAAAAAATAAAAAATTTCAAATTCTCCATAAAAATAAATTACAGTCTCGAAATTCCACTCCATACACACTAGTATTATTCCACTCAATTTCCTTTTCTTATTTATTATGTTTATTTTAATTTTCTAGACTGGTTATGCTTTATGAACAGTGAACCTTTCCCCGCGTTAAAGAACCTAGTTGTCCACGCAAAGGGATTAGGGGAAAATACTTGAGCTTCAAACTTTTTCATCAAATGATAGACAAACTCATTGCTCTAAAATGGTGAGGTCAGCAAGAAAAGACATGTTACATGGCAAAGAGCAAGGAATGAGACATGTAAATGGAAGAAAATACGAAATTTTTTTTTTAAGTTTTATTCAAAAGATTAAAAAAAAAACTGAACCGAGTCTGAAGAAATACACTGAGGTTCAATTTCAATTTAAGTTATCAAACAAGAATAACGGTTCATAATATAAACAAAAAATTCAAACTTTAGAAATGTTTAATAATAATTAGTTTTTTTAATAAGAGTTAGTTTATCATCCCTTTTTTACCTAGACAAAATTGGGTACTTACAATCACGATATTTCAACGAATCATTCTTTCAACTTCCATCCAAATTTTTAGTAATCAAACTCATGCCCAAATTTTCCCTTCTCAACCTTTTATTAAAATCTTCACTTTTCAAGCTTCTATCCAAATCTCCATTTCTTCAGAGCTACTTGATTCATAAATCTTTGTCTCCTCACTTGATTATCTTCCCATGGTTAATGTTGACAACTTAATTTTAAATTATCTCGAGTGATGACTTTGATTTCCAACACTTCACATCTTAAAAATGTTCATACCAACATTATGTACATAGAGAGAGCCACAATGCTTACAAGTAGTAAATTAGAAAGAAGGCGTTTTGCGGAGCTGCTGAGACTTAGCTGTCCCCCATTGATGTATTCATCCTTGCTCGTAGTCACCGAAACATTTACAGACGAAGAACCTAGCACCAATTGAAAATTAAAGACACAATATAGAATCATATATACTTGCAGGAACAGAGTTTCTATGGTGAACTTACAGTCATAGTTAGTCCATCCAATTCGTTGATGAGCCAAGTCATACACAACTATCTTATCTTTTAGGACAAGATCTGCCAAATAAATTGAAACAATATAGATTAATCTCAAATCATCATAGTATATCACTAGTTGATCTCATAAATTTGATGCCCAATTTACTGAAAACAAACATGGCCAGGCAAATTTATGATCAACAAACTTGCGATGTTTTTAAGCAAAAAATAAAATAATTTTTAACCATAAAACAGATTTATTTAGTATTTGAATAATGAAAACGAGACAATCTACCTTTTTCGGATCATATTTTCTTAAATCAGAATGTTCCCTAAACTCAGATATTCATCTATCAACTATTACTTTTATTTCCATTTTCCTTTCTACCATGTAACAACAACAATGGGGCTATATGAAATTGTGCAGAAGCAACAAACCATAAGTTCTCAATGGGATGAAGGCAGTATCTGTTTAACACAGGTACAGAAACATGATTAAGAAATTTTTTTATTCTTCAAATTGAATAGCCCCATTTCATAATCACGAGTTATAATTTCGTTTATTTTCATTGCAGTCTGCAGACTTTAGTCTGTTAAAAAATGTCCAGCATCTAACCTCCTAGAATTGAGACCCCCTCTTGTACATTTTGGAAACCGATGCACCACATTTCAGCACCATCCTGTTTAAGCAAACGGCACCTCGGCATATCAGCAACATACAGTTTCAAACAATAGCTTCCTTATTAAATTATATGACACTTTCAGACATACTTACATGGTAACCATTATGCAGAAGGTATTGCTCTGGTTTTAAAATCATTGACGCTCCCCCCTCAAAGTTTAAACTGACCGAAGGAAAAATGTCACCTATACTGTAAAACATAAACTCTTAACGAGTTATTAAAAAATCCTAATAGGAAAACTTAATGAGAAAGAAACCATTCAAAGTCTTAACAATTACAGTATTCGTAATGACCTGTTTGAGACCAGATAACACTGGTTTCCTTTGGAATTAGTTTGCCGTGCAGATTGTGACACAACAGTAGTTATCTGCGCATTCATTTAGAGTTTCAACATCAGTATATGTTATAGGCAAGGTCAAAACCATTTCGTAAAATGTAAGATAAGTAAACAAAAGGATGAACTGTCTCCTTGTAAACCCCCTCTTAATAATACTAATATAATATAGAAAAGGGTGTAAACCTTTATAAGATGTTCAATTGCTGGGGTATCATAAATCTATAACTGACAAGTTAAAACTAGATACCAGCAAAATGATATAACAAAGGGATAAGAATCAATTCAATGGGCAAACATATCAATAAGAAATTTAAGAAAAAAGATAAAGCAAAAGACATGCATGCAAAATTAATAAAATTCTCACTGTTTACTTTCCCCTTACAATTTCTCATCATGGAAAAGGAAAAGGTGAATGGTGTGCCCAACACAGTACAATGCTTCAAGGTTTTGCACAAGGTTCAAGAAACTTACCGCATTGACAAGAGGATCATAAGCTTCTTGAACAAGATACGCCAATGTTGTACCACAGTCAACTATAGTTCCTCGGTCATTGGATGTTCCAAATACAGCTGAATTAATTGGGAGGAGTTGCCCATTGACAGCAATACTCTGAAGATTCAAGTTATAATGAGGCCTGAGATTCGATCAACCAGTCAAATACTCTGCAATATATCTCATAGATAACTGCAAATTATTTGACAGAAATAAAAGCAGCATAACAAGTATTTTAAGAACATTCTTTGAGCGCAATATTACCTTTAACTCAAAAAAGCTTATATAGATTATAGTATAGGATTTTCCCTCAGCCCACTTTCTCTCCTTAATTTCCCTCGCCAAACTATTAACTTTCACATCATATTTATTATTATCATTATGAAAATATATAATTTTTTATATTATGATATATAATTAATTATATGTATTTATAACATAAAAATAAACAATATCCTATTTACAATTTAAAATAAAAACTTTGAAAAAATCATAAAATATTTTATTATAATCTATTTATATTCTAATTAAATATTCTTCTCAATCCACTTTCTCACCTATTTTTCCTGTCCATTTGAATGATTTTTTCTTCCCTATTTTTCCTATCATTTTGAAAAAAAAAATTGCCACTAAATTATATTAAACTATTTTCATTAAGTTAAAGAATGCATTTTATCTTTTCAATTATATTCATTTCCTGATATTTTCCGATCGAAACTAAATTTTAAAATGGTTTACCACCGCCAGGTTGATTCACAGTCTCACCAAGAGTGTGGCACGTGACATAACTTTGTGTTTGTGGATGTGAAAATGCAAAAGAAACCATAGGACCCATATTTTCTTCAAGACTATTTTCTTCAGAAACTAAAAAGATGTTTCTTCCCCATGAGTGGCAAGAACCCAAATACATTAAGATCTTCCAGGATCACTACATTTATAATAAGAAGACTAGCCTAAATCAAGATTAGGCTAAATAAAATAAAATAAACTTAACCCAGAAGAAATTACCAATTGGGTTAAACAATGACAAAATTTCAACCTACCAAAAATTGGAACATAAGATAGTAAGCTTTGTGTAAGTTAAGAGATTTTTCATTTCCTGTCATCCATACTAGTAAAATTTCATAATTACTGTACAATTAGTAAATTTTGACAATTGACAGTAACGTAAATACCTAAACCAATTTCGTTCAGAAATGCCTTCAAAATTTCTTTAACAACAATGTTAATAAATGTTGGGGGAAATTATCAACTAACCAGGGAAAGAAAATGAGAAAAGAAGTCAAGGGAACATACTGCGATGGAACAAGTGGACTATAAACCATACTTGACTCCTTTATCTCGCCAAGGACTAGAATGCCTCCTCCATCACCATCTCCTTTTAAGCAATGAGAGAAAATTTTGGGTGTTATTCCTCGTGATGACAATTGTGATACAACAGATAGAGCACCAGGGCCAAACCCAAAAATCCCATCAACTGCTTTATCTGTCTTAGTCAGATCTCCAGACTGACTGATGCTACACCTGTTTCCAATACAATAATCCAAATTTAAAACAAAGATGGGAAAATTCATATCAACTATCAGCATAGACATGGAATTATATGCAAATCAACTAGAAGAGAGACGATAGACAAAGGAATGAACAACATCAAAATAAGCAAGCCCTGTTCTCCCTTTTTATTAACAAATCAACCTATTCACAAATCTTGCCTTGCCAATTTAATTTCCACCTTCCCATCCCCTCTGATTTTCACTCTTACAGAGCATATCCCACTTACATTTCCCTCCGTAAACTCAGATTCATCCATCCCTCCCATTCAGTTCTACTCTTCATATATTCCCAATATCGTATCAAGTCTACACACCTTTATTCACAATTATAAATAAGCATAATGCTCACCCAAAAATAATGGTAGCCGAAGAGTTAACCGATGGAAGTGAAGGCTGTCCAATGATCAAGTTAAAATACAATGCATCCGAAACATAATAACCTGAAGTCCCACTCCCATCTCCATACTTAAAGCTGTAGCTGCATTGATTAACCCTCGTGGAGCACTCAGCAGCAGCACCTTGAACCCCAATAGTGCATATCGGGTCCGAGCAGGGAACCAACGCAGCCGTAGACGACCCAACCGTGTCAAAGAAGTTAAGCTCAATCTGCACACCACAAAACAACCAACAAAAAACATAACACATTAATCTCCAAAATCTGCATAATAACAAGAAGCTCAACACATTAAGCACCAAAATCAAAATCAAATTCAAATTCAAATTCAAAATCCTCACCCCTAGTTCACTCGACTGAGGACAATTACTGCAAGTATTGCAATTCACCCACAATATATCACTCCCGGTATCAATCTGAACGTTAAATTCTTTAGGAGGTGTTCCCATCTTCACTTTGGTATAATACAACCTGAACAAGAAAAAAAAAATCACAATATTCAATAACAACACTCTCATTAAGTCAATTAAATAAATAAATAAAACTTGGCACAAAAGTATACAAATGTATCTTTGTTCCACACATGCAATAAACGCATTTTACGAAAAGAAACTTAAATTGATTACCCGTACCCAACGGAATTTGGATCGGAGGTTCCTTGCACGGCGAAGTCGACTATGCCGCTCAACATTCTGGCATGGCGGGCACTGTCGCGAGCCCTCAGCACCGCCACCTCCTCGCGGTGGCTCAGAGGAATACTCCGTTGCAGAGGGAGGAAAGCGCCGTGCACCGCCGACACCAGCATGGCGGTCACGACCAACAGCGTGTGAATGCAGCACCGCATTATTGATAGAATTTTGAATTTGCGTGTGGTTTTGGGTTTTGTTTTGTCTAATGATGGGAGTGGCGATGGAGTCGGTGCATTGAAAGTTGAAACGTAGAGAATAGAGAAAAATAGAAGAGAAGAGTGCGTGCCAGTTCTTTTAGGCCACAGTGGTTGCTGATTTTGGTTAATAAGCTGAATCCCAACACTCTCTCAGTTGGGAGTTTCTAATGCCTATCTAAAATTATTAACTTAATTTTGTTCATAAACTTTTTTTCAAATTTTAATTATATTTATTAATAGTTTTCACTAAGTAATATAAATATGAATTAAGACAACTATTCATGAAAAAAGCTTTTAGCACATTGGCAAATTATGAATAAGAATAGAAAACCAAGAGTGGAATAAAGCTAAATTTAAACTAGTGGTGTGCGTAGTAAGTACACTGACACAATGCTTTAGCCTCTCAAACTTTTTCAAATGAAGATTCCTTAGAATTATTAAAGTTCTATGTTCCTAAGTAGAGCATTTAATTTAAATAAAGCATCACTAGTATAATTGGAATTTCAAACTTTATCCATTTATCAACACTTTTTTTCTCTTACGTTTATTTATTTGTATATGCTAACTTGTAGGGGCTAGATTTAGAAAAGTAGGGAGTAAATCACAAAAAAGTGTAGAAAGATACATATGAAAAGAGACCCTTGAACGCATGGTTGTTTTTTTATTATTATTATTATATAGTTTATTGGATGTACCAAAGACATGATATATAGATAAAATATCTCATCATATGGTGGATCGTAGGGAAAACATAACAGTGTAGTGTACTTGTGACATTACATAATTTATGTTATGCGAAGAGATTATGGGACCTTATTACACGAACTTCGATTGAAAATTGCAACAACGTTTAGTGAGCATATCAAGATCGAAGAAGATGGAAAGAGATATGTGGGAACAGATGCAATGATTTGCTTCAATAATAAGGGGCTGAAAGGGACAGAAATTAAGGGACAATAATTTGAGTAAATTCAATTCATATTTGTTATTTTATTTCCCATCACACGTGAAAAAGGTGGTGATTTGTTTGGTTTTTTGGTGTATGGTTCTATTTCGTGGTTGGGGTTCTACTAATCAATGTTGTTAAGCTGCAATAACAACACCTTTTATTTCATGTAAATGTTAATTTATGACAATTTTTTTTAAATGTAATAAAAAACATATTATTAAAACTTGCAATTAAATAATAAAATATAGAATAAATTTTATCAATAATATATTTAAAAGAAAAATTATTTAAATAAAATATATATTAATATATTTATTTAAACAGATCTATTTATAATTCTTTTTCTTATTCAATCCTTATTTTCTATTTTTCATTTTTCATTTTTTTTCTAGTTATTATTTTAATTAAATTATTATATTAAAATTTAGTAAAAATATGTTAAAATCAACCATCAAATTAAAAAAATATTAACTAAATATTTTAAATTATGACGATAGTAAATAATTAATTTAAAATTATTTTATCATAATAAATAATTATTAAAATAATTAAAAATATTAAATATTTATAAATTAAATATATTTAAAAAAATTAATTCAATTATAATTAGATTAAGTTATGATAATCAATTATATTAAGTGATTTAAAAAAATATTTATTAAAGAATTACTTTAAAATAAATATTTAATTTTTTTCTTAATAATTATAATATATCAATTATATTTGTAATATTTTAAATTATTATATAATATTTTTCAATATAATATATTAAATTATAGTATTTCTTATTTATTTAAATATTTTTATTTTTTAAAAATAATAAAATACTTATTTTATTAAATTTAAATATATTATTTTTAATTCAATAACAAGATGGGCGATGACGATAAAAAAGAAAATAAAGGAAAACAAATATTAAACCGAAAGAAAAAGAATAATAATAAGTAAATGAAAAATAAATAAATAAATAAGAAAAAGGAGAAAAAAATAATTGTATTATATCTATTATTAAATAATTTTAATTGAGTAAATAAACTCAGAAAGATTTTACTTATTTTCTTTTTAATTATATTATTTATGGGATCGAAGATGATTATTTTTTTTATAAAATATCTATCATTATTTATTTGTTATATATATATATATATATATATATATATATATATATATATATATATATATATATATATATATATATATAAGCATGAGTTTTAGATTTATGTTTTAAAAGAAGTTATATTTTCAATGATAATGTTTTAATTTGATCTTATTATTTTAAGTCACGTTTAATAACATGATTTTTTTCCGCTGCACTAGTTCGGAAAGACAAAATTTCTCTTGTGTAATTCTTAAATTTTTTTCGGAATCACTTAAAAAAAATTATAATCACTTTTCACCTTTTCCAATGTTTTTAGGAGGTTTTAAAATTAATTTTCTAAAAATATTTTAAATTAATATTTTTTAAAAATACTTTAGATTTTTTTTTTTATGGAACGATGAATTTTATTAGACTTCATAATCTAAAAGTTAAATCATAAGTGAAATTCATTTTCAAAAACTTTCCGAATTTATTTTTTATAATGATAAATTACGTTCTAGATTTTAATGTGAAACTTAAAAAAATTATATATTTTTAAATTTATTCATTTTAAATTTTTTGGATTTATTAATGTGGAATATTTCAAATATTTTGAATCATTAATTTCATAAATCTAATATGAATATTATTATCTTTGTAAATAAATTTGGAGTACAGAGATAGACGAAGGAAGAGCCTTTTTCGTTTCTATTTTATTTTATTATGGAAGTCTTGCATGGAGTTATTTTTAAGGAATGGAAATTACAGTTTTTTTTTTCTTTAAGTCTTGAATTAACTGATGGCTTCTTTCTATTATATTTTTAACTTTTTATTTAGAAAATATTCTATTTAAAAGATCTCTATTTTTTGAAAAGAAAATAAAAGTCGTTCTCAATATTTATTTAAAATCGAAATTTATATTTTTTAGAAATATAATATAAAAGTTGTGTTTTAATTCAAAAATTTTAACTATTATTTTAGATCATATTTTTTTAAAATATATAACTTATATTCGTTGCATATTGTTTCAATGATAAACACTTCCTTCTGAATTAAGTCATGGTTTAATGTGTTTTTTTTCTTTAAAGTGTGTGTGTGTATATATATATATATATATATATATATATATATATATATATATATATATATATATATATATATATCATTTAGTTTTGAATGTTAATAAATAAATATATTATTCTTAAAAATAATTTTTATTGCTTATTTTAATATATATTCCCATATTGTTTTTAGTATATATATATATATATATATATATATATATATATAAATTAAATTGTATTTTACTATGAAAAGAATAAAGTATATTTCAATGATATAACATATAGAAACTAATTTAAAATAAAAAAAATTAATGGTGAGAAAGAGAAATTATTTTTTTCAAATAAATTATTTTTATTTATTTAAATTATATGATTAAATTGAAATTTTTAAATAACCCATCATTCTTCTTTCAATCATTTCTCATTATTTATTTGTCGTTCCTTATCACGTACATTATTTGTTAAATTAGTTTTTCCGTTCCTCAATATAGTAATTGTACGAAAATCAATTCAAATGTTTTTTTTTTTAAGTTGAAGAATGAAATGAAAATTTACATAATTTATAAATGAAAAAACTGAAAAATATATGTAAAAAAAAAAAAAACTAAAAGATTTTTTTCTTAAGATTTTGTATGTTATCTTTCTTTTGACTTTTTTACCATTAGTAAATATTTTTCAAATGTTTCTCTGTTTGTAGTTGTCCTAATAGTATTACCAAAGTAAATGAGTTATCTTGGCGAATGACTCGTATGAATACAATATGGAAGTGGATGATGAATATTAAGTTTTTGGATGAACAAAGATAAAAAAAAGTTTATAATTTTGCAATATTTTTGCTTAAAGGATATTACAGTATTATTTTTTAATGGAAAAATTCTGATACTCAAAATTTAAACATCTTAAAAATATGATTAATAGATTTGAAAACAAGTGAAAGTAAGAATTTAGAGTATTACTAAAAAATTCAAATACTCAAAATTTATATATAAACATATTAAAAATGATTAATAGATTTGAAAGCACGTGCGACTAAGGATTTTGAGTATTATATTCAAATGAAAAAAATTCAAATACTCAAAATTTATAAATAAACATCTTAAAAATATGATTAATAGATTTTATAGTTATGTATTTATTCACCAGTTTTATTTAATGTGTGTTATATTATTTTGAGGGTATTTTTTTCTCATTCATATTAGTTTTTCGATATATTTGGTTACCTATCTGTATTTTGAAATGATATAAGACTAATTTAGTGATATATATATATATATATATATATATATATATATATATATTATTTAGATTTATATAAAAATATATAATTTTGTATAGAAATATATGATTAATTATCGAATGAAGTTTTATTAATATAAATGTTAATATAATGAGTTCTAATAAAGAGTTTTATATTAAAAGTAATTATTGTATGTAATATACATTTCTCAAAAGTGAAAAACAACTTTTTGTTTGAAAAGAGAGTTTGTATAGGGTAATTCATAATACAGAATTTTGAAATATTTCATAAAAAAATAATTAGGATAATTTTTTTTAATAAATTGAATTTTTAGGAATTTAAGATAGTAATTTAATTACTTAAAATAAAAGAATTTTAAATTTAACGTAAAAGAAAGAATTTGAAATTCTCTATAATTTTTTTTAAACAACTATGATTGACTTGATTTTTTTCATCTACCTCGAACAATATTAGAACCGTGTAACCTAAATAATTATGACCTAACTTAACTCAAATTGTCATGACTCAACCTCACCCCGTTCTAACTAGACTCGACTTGTCTGCTCTCCACCTAACCAAGACGGTCTCATCTCGTCTCATTTTGATCTTACTCTTTCTAATTAGGTATGACTCAATTGTCCAAATTATGTTAACTTATTTCGATCTAATTTACTCTATCATAACTTGATTCATCTTAATCTGACTTTATTCATCCTGATTTGACATCTCTTCACCTAACATGTCTTGTCTCAAGCTAACTCAATTTATATCATCTTAACTTGCTTCCTCATGTCTCATTTGGATTAAACTCAATCTATTTCTACCTATTTAACCTAGTCTAACTTTACTCGTCTTAACCTAATCTAACATTTTTAATTTGGTCTAACTCATTCTAATATGTTTTAGCAAATTATGACCCACCTTAACTTAGCTTGATGCATGTGAGTAAGGGTGAAGTCCAATAAGTTAGACTTAATGATGATAATTTTTATATTTTATAATAATTGAAATATTTTATCTGAATAAAAAAATTAAAATTCAATAAATTTTACTTAGCTTATTCAAATAAATTATTTTAAATAAAATAATTTAAAATTCAAATAATTCAAATTCAATATATTTTTATTTCCTTAAAATTATAAAATTTTATTTTCAATTACAAACTAAAGCTCATGCCTACAAATAGTTTACATATTACATTTATTTAGATAGACATAAATTTATAAATTTGATTTTACCAAACTAATAATATATAAATTAGTTTGAATAAATTTACTATAGTAGCTAAAAGTAGAAAAAAGTTTTATATATTTCTCAAAGTTCAAAATGTTGATAAAGTATTATAAACCTTGATTTAGGTGAATGCAAAATTTGGTTTAATAAAAAGAAATTGAAAATGCATGAAAAAATTTTAGGTGTATATGTTTAATTTGATTGAAATGGTAAGGACACCTAGGTGATTTGTTTTTTGTCATATCAAAATTGTCTTTGTACATTTTTATGTAACATGGGAAATTCGTCCTAAACACCTTAGCTTGATCATATATTTCATCAATGACCTCAAATAATCCTTTCATTGATAAATTTTACCTTAAAAAGGATGAAACATCAAACTTACCTTAAAAATGAGAATATATAATTTATAATTTATGGATGCACTAGAGACTTTTGATGTTTATTATTTTAGGCTTTTTATGTATGATTAAACTCCTATGTCAATACGAAATACATAAATTTACGTTAAAGTAATTAAACAATGTAAAATTATGCTAAACAAGTACACAATTTAACGTGAATTTATGTCAGTTATTGTGCAATTCAAAATAAATCATTCTTATTCTGGTTGTAAACAATGGATCGATGGGGAGTAAGCATAAAACCATAAATGTCATAATTACAAAGAACTAGTAGGATTTACAAAAAATGAATAAATTCATTTACAAGCAGGCTAACAAGAATAAAACAAGTGGCATTCTTTTGCCTAAATTACACCCATTTTGATCAAGTTGAAGCACTGTTAAATCCTCCTCAAGAAAGACACGCAAGGAAAAGGAAATAAACTAGCTTTGGACTTTACCTTAGAGAAATAAGGAATTTAAAGTACAAAAAGTCAAAGAAAACATTTTTACTTCATTTTGGCTGGTATATGAGTAAGAACAAATTTAGTTAAAAAAATACATATTTGTCCGAGACACTATAAAATTCAATTTGAAAAAGAATCATAAAAAAATAAAAATTAAATCCTGATTAAATAGATATGGAAATAGAAATAGAGAGATGAAGGAAATCCTATGTTGTTATTAGAAGAGGTAGGTGCCTTAGAGGTGAGAGCCTAGATGTTCGCTAGCTTAGCCAATCTCGCAAAATAGATTCCAAAATGCTTAAATCCAATATGAAATAAATTTTCAAAACCATTAATGAATCATAATGATGATGTCGTTGTGTTCATCATAGTCAAAAAACACCAAAAAAACTCATGTTGATATCGTCGTTGCTTAACGAAAAAACCCTTGAAGACAAGAGACACTAAAAGAGATATAAAATGAATTTTATGTCAGATCATAAGAGATGTGACACAAAAATTTTTGTTTTAATTTAAAAAATATCATTACATTTTTATTAAGTCAATTAAAAAGAATTTGACATCCATTTTACTTCATGGTTTAACTAAATTTAACACTATAATACAATTATCACTATAAATAGACTAATAATTTGTTGGATGACAAAATATGTCACTTCATCCTATTTTTGTTTGTCTCGCCTCTAGCTCGTAAAAAATGAGGCGGGACAGGGCTAACTTGTCATAGTCGGAATGAACTATAGACCTCAATTTGTCTCGTTAAAAGATGAGTTGACGAGGTTAGCAGATCAACTAGCTAATAATTATTGTGTGTGTATTTTTAAAAAAATATATATTTAATTATATAAATGTTTTTTTAATTTTTATTTATTAATTAATATTTTTATTAAATAAGTTATAAAAAATATTATATTTATGTGTTAAAATAACTAATTATAATCAATAATTTAAATTTAATTAATTAATTTTTGTAATTAAAATTATAATACTATAATATATTTACATATTTCAATAACATAATATACAAAATATAATATTTTAATTATAATCTTTTTTTTATTTTTATTTTAATATGTAAATATTTTTTTTAAATTGATATGTTCCTCCTATTCCACACTTAATCTAGTGAGTTGACGGGCTAAACAGAATGGACTAAAATCATCAATCCATCCCACTATTTTTTTTAAGTGAATTGACAAATTGGTTCACAAAATCTAATATATTTTTTATCTCTAATAATTTGATTATATTAATAAAAAAAAGACATTATAATTTTTCAATTATTTTTCTGGTTATGGTACGATATCTTTCACCAATACTCAATCCTCTCAATTTATGATTTAATTAGGTAAATACCTCATCTCCCCGTATGAATTATATCACAACACCGCTTAACAAGAACTAGACTCATAAACTCACACCCTCGTGTGGTTCCGACCATATTTAATACTCAAAATACTCAGCAAATGTAATTCACGGGCAACAAAGCATAACATGATATGAGATGCAACTTGCATACATACTTTTGTAACTCTTGTGTGCATATGTTAATAATTGATTGTCCAAACCTCTAACGTTATCACTTATTTCCTCAACTTTTACAATGTTGTCAATTTTTTATTACGTGACATTGCTAAAGAAGACATTCTTTATTCTTTATATAAACAAACACAAGTATCTAGTGAATATATATTTTACTACCGCTACAATTATACTACACCGTCCATATGTAAAAATGGATTAAAACTATGAACAAATAACTATATTTAGCATAATAAATTTAATGTTTTATAATATAAATATCATAATTAATTTTTAACAAATAAAAATATTTGCAATTATTTTACCAACATAAAAAAATATTTTCTCATTTATTTCAAACAATTAATATATAATATATGTAAGCAATTAATATATTTTTCTTTAAAGGATATTATACTAAAGCCAAATATGTTTTTATCAACTTTCACGTGGCTTCACATGTTGGGGCAAAATTGTCTTCACATGTTGGCTAACACTTATTAGTAAGTCCACACTCTAGTGAATTTGCATGGTGTAAACTTTATTTTCTAATTTTTTTCATATTACATAAATCAAACACACATATTTCCCTCAAATAATCTCCAATAATCAATCCACATAATTTACTCAAATATTTATAATACTAAATAAATTCAAATAAGTTGATTTAAATAATTATTATTTTAAATTTTATTAAGTTAAAATTATTAAATATTAAAAAAAGACACATACAAAATACAATATTTAGATAAGTATAAATAATAATAATAATAATAATAATAATAATAATAATAATCTATATAAAAATAAAATAATAAATAAATAATAAAATGATCTTATTTATAATTTTTTATTAAAATATTTTAAATAATAAATTATATCCGTTTAATATTAATTATAACTAAAATCGATTAATTATATGAGTTTTTATAGAAAATATTTCTATCTCGTAATAAATATCATAAATTTAAAAATCCAAATACATACATTAATCATAATATTTTAAGGAAAAAAATACTAATATGAAAAAAAAACATTAAAATAAATAAGAAAACATATATTTTTATTAACATTCATTAAAAATTATAAAATTTAATAGTTCAATTAAAAATGTATTTGATAAATTTTAATAAATAAAAAACCCAAAAAACATATAATTAAACAATTTTTGCTTATAATTTTACATTTTCTAACAACATTGATAGGAACGAATTGCAGAAGAAGAAGAAGAAAGGGTGGGAAGCAGAAATCGAGGGTAGTGTGTGCGAGAGATTAAGGATGGCAACGTGTCTTCGCCTCAGGAGATGTATGAGTATCGATTCGCGCGCTTTCTTCGTTTCCGCCGCTAGATTCTCCTCCTCCTCTTCGTCATCGTCACCCTCATCGTTATCTTCCGGTAAGACTAAAACGGGGAAGAAGCTCATAGATCGTCTTTCGGCCGTTATGGACGCCGTTCACGATCGCAAACTACCGCCGGAGCTACGCGGCCAGCGCAACAATGTAAGGTAATAATAATACAGGCGCACATGCGTGAAATTGCCGTTGTTTCTGGAATCGAATTTCAATCAACTACTCAGAATTCATTAGGATTGCGTGCGCGCCGCGTGCGTTCGTGATATCAGTTTTTCTGTTCGGAATCTTGTATTGTGGTACACGCAACGATATCGTTTTTCGGCTTTATCTCTATTGGATATATCTCTTTATCTTGGCACTTTCATTGCCTTAGGTTTAAAATGACAGTAAATATGAAATTGATAGCTTCGGCTGTGTGAATGGTTAAAATTACGGTAAAGTGCGTGCACTATAGTAAATTGTTTAGTTGTTTAAGTGCATTTATTTAAATTTTTCAGTGAATGTAACTCATTGCTCTTCTATTCCAAAGTGAATACGTGTGTCAAATCCGAAATGATAGATATGAAATAAAAACATAAGTGAAAGTTTCATTCTTATCTTTGATGTAGCAAATGGAATTAAAAGCAGATGAACTCTAGCATAAAGCTGTGCCCACTGGTAGATGAGAATTTCTACCAATATACTTTCTACGAGCATATTTATTTGTCTAACCATGAAGTTATTTGACTCACTTTTGGTAGGCCCTACAATGGATTGTGAAATTTAAGAACTTCATGTTTTTTGTCTGATGGTGCAGCATTTCAGAACTGAACCAGTTCTGCAATTGTCTCTCCATTCTTAAGACCAGTTAAGAATCGATGATGATATAAAAACTGTTCTCTAGTTCTTATATAAAAAGGGTCACATCAATTGTTCTAACGGTGAGACTGCATAAGAATTGGTTCTTCAGTTTAAGAAGGCCGTAAGCAACTTTTATCGAGATGTTGCAATTATGTTTTTCTAACATATTTTCTCAAGCTGATTTTCAACCAAAATTAGCGGGAATACTTATGATTTTTAACATAAAAAAAGAATGAATTAGAAAGTGTGTTATAAAGTTTGTTATTAACATTCCTTGTATAGTATATGTATCATTGGTTTTAACATCTCCCATTGACCAGTTAAGTTGCCCTCAAGATGAGGAGGCACTGGTGCACTAGTGGTACCACTGATAGTACAGTGGACGTGGTTGTAAATCCAATACTATTGGTGCCATTGTGTTGGTTTCCTTCTCATGTGGTGTTTAACACAAACTGGTTTGGACAGGTCAGAAACTGATATGATTAACGTTGTTGAGCAAAGGATATGGCATTCCATGGAAGAGGGTCAGTTTGAGAACTTGCCAGGTAAAGGCAAGCCGCTGAAGCTTGACACAAATCCTCATGCAGATCCAGCTGAAGACACCCTGTACCGAATCTTGTCGAAAAATGGATGCGCACCAGAGTGGGTTGAGCTTAACAAAGAAATAAGATCTAAAATATCTGAATGGAGGATGTCCTTGAAGAAAGCTTGGGCTAATAAATGTAGTGGTGATCACTCCGAGTGGGTTGAAAGTTCAGAGAATTTGAAATCGCAGTTACGAGAAATCAACGATAAGGTGAGCTAGGCCATTTTAATGATTCCCGAGAAATGGAATGGAGAATTGAATTCCTGGTCCTGTTAGAACTTTAATTCCTGTCATATTTGTAATGCACACGTAATGGATCTTCATATTTTTTGGCAGGTTTTCCGGTATAACCTCATTGTGCCTTTTGGTCGGCAAATGTTTGGCCTTAAGTGGGAGAAGGAGCTAGGTTACTTGGAAGAAAAATGAGACTCAATATGGTTACTTAAATTTGAGCCAGTTGGTTCATTGTGTTTGAAGATAAGTTCTTATTTATTGTCCTGATTGCGGTCATGCCAGGTGACAATCAATGGCTTCAATCAGGCCAGCCCTCGACAGTGTTAACTGTTATGATGCCTCTTTCAGGATTAGTATAGTTATATTTATACTGTTCATATCCTCCTATCTGTCTTCCTACACCCTATGTTTTCCATGTAAGCTAGTGAAATGTTACAATGTATGAGACAAAACAATCCTAGTTGTCCTGAACATTGTATTATACTGTCTATATTTTGCCGAGGGCAATTGTAGTTCTCGCTTCACTGTACAGGATATTTGTTGTACCATCTAGATGACTGGAATAGAGCTTCTCAAGTGGCAGCGCAATACTGTGCATTTGCTATTTATCTTTCGGCCTTGATCATAAAGATTCATGTCCACCAAACATTATAAGCACCCTGATCAGATGACTGCTAATGATGTGGATTTTAATTTGAAGTACAAAAGAAAAATGCAATATTGAGGATATATCTGGACCATTTTTTTTCTGAGAAATGGAATTTAACATATTTTGATGATAAAGCATAACGCGTTATTTTCAGGTGTCCAGACATTTCAAACACAAGTTGATCCTAAAATAGCCATGATATTACAAGACAGCACTTAGTCTTAGAAAAATCTTATTGAAAATAGCGCAGAAGCCAAATAATAGGTGATGATGTCAATTCCTCTTTTTCAGATGGTCTGAAACTATTTAAAAACTACAAAATATGTTTCGACAGATGACTACTAAAGTGACAAGAATAAACAAAAATCAATTACAGGCTCTACAAAGTTACATTCTAAATTTTCGTATTCCTTATGTGCTGCTCATATATTTGATGTTTCAGCTGCAAGATGTATGAGACTTTTCCTGTGGTAAGCAGTACGTAGCTTTTTGTATTTCTGCAAAAAGGCTCCAAGGTCAATCTCTCTGTCAAGGACTTGCTGGTGCAGATTTTCAGATTCCTCTTCTGTCTTATTCATAGCCTCTGCAAAATCATTAAAATATATTACGAACCCAAGCAGGTCATAAAGATAAATTTTCGTGATTATAGAAATTAGGTGTATATGAGAGAAAGTCACCGTGTCAACTCATACCTTGAATCCTTTGGAGAAGGTATAGTGGGGAATTCAACTTCAACATTTCCTCTCTTTGCCTCTCAAGCTCGTTTAGTTTCTCTTGAGCCGCAGCTAACTCGGTCGAACAAATTATTCTACACTGTTTCCATATGAGAAGGGGTCAAACTCATACTCACGCCAGAATATAAATAAAAACCAAACTAATGATAGGATTATGATCATACCTGGTTCCTGAGTTCAAGAATGCGAGGTTCCTTTAGTAGATTTTCGTCTGAATTTAAAATTAAGTGTTTGAGATGATCTAATATATTCAGCTGAAAGCTAGCCATCTAATCGCATAATCACAATGAAAAGAATTCACTGACTCACCAGCAAGCTGCAGATTCTCCTTGCAAAGTTCATCATTCACCTGATCAAATCATTGGGTAAAAATGTTATAAAATACAAGCAATAGAATAAGAGTTTTTCGCATTCACTTTGGTGGTGGAGTGCGGTGGGGCATTAGCATTGGGTAATGCATTCACCTTTCTATTCTAGCTTAACTAAGATATTGAGGATGTAACTTTGTTTTCCTCATTTTGATTCGTAGAAAAACACTACGGATTGGGACTTGGGACAGTAAACTCAAGAATCTTAAAAAATGAGGTTAGCATAATTAAGCTAACAATCTCCCCTACTCACAGCCTAGCTTTGATCACCATTTGTAGAATCAACCATCAGCCACTACCAAAAAAAGCTTGTCCAAAGGTACCCTTAGAAGAAGTTATTGCCAAGGGAAAATGATAATTTCACAAAACAAAAAAAATATTTAGCCACTCCATCCATGTTGTTGTAAACCCCACAAAGACTACTCATGAACGCAACAGACAATTAGATTAGAACATAGTTTCCCATAACATTGACATTTCTCAACAATTTCATATATAAAGCATAACAGCTCAAGAAATACGGTCAAGTAGGAGAATTCTCACGGAAGTTCATATGCATATCCCCAATTCGTCCATTCTATCTAACTCGTAATCAGAAAATAAATGCATACCCTATTACTTCAAAGATCATGGCAAAATACTACAAGCAACACAATGAAACTAATATGAAAGAAAAAACAGAGAAAAACAGGGAAGACATCTATATAGAACTTTCACTAGAGTGGATGTACACCAGAAGCAATTTTCAGCACATCATCATCATAACTCATAATCTTACATTATCTTGAATCTTGACCTCCTCAAGTGAATGCAAAAGCTGCTGATATGCGTCTTTGTTAGATAAAACCTTCCGCAACTCATCAGCACTACCAAGTTCAAAAGTAAGAATAAAGAATCATTCATATTGCTAATATTTAAAGGACAACGATTCTTAACAGTGTCATCCAATTACAAACTGTTTATATAATAAGATTGTTGATTTTTAATAAATATCTTTGAAAATCATATTTTTGAGTGAAGTTGCATGCCTATTAAAGTATCATTTAATAAGATCAAATTATTCATAACATCAGACTGCATTATAAAGTCAATCACTGTTACATAACCAAAATTAAAATTTCAAACGCGGAAGAAATCATATGATGGTGTAGAAGACCTTTTATCCTTCAAAGTAGCAACAAGTCCAGCAGAAGAAGTGTAACTGCTGGTGGTAGCAGAAGAAGAACCATGCTGGTGTTGTTGTGATCCCCTGCGCGTAAACAAACCTATAAGCTATTATAGTTTTCAATTCAAAGTAAATATTTTTTCAAAACTACAAAAAGAAGGAGAACAAATTTATAATGAATGCTTCGCTGGGTTGGCTGCATAAAACATGACATGAATAGTGAATCAATAAAAAAGATGAAAGGAAGGAATAATATCTGAAAACAAAGAGGGTACCGAAATCTGGTGGACATGGTTCTGTTTGAAACTTCGGAGCCAACGAGGTTGCAGTGTGTTTGGTTGATGGTTGAAACTCTGAATTTATTGTCTCTCTTTCTTATGACTTCCGCTACGCGTTGCGCTTTCTCCCTGTCACTAACACCAGACAAAGAATCATTCTTCTCTTTCTTATAATATTTTTGAAGTTCTTTTAATTTTTTCTCATTTATGTTACTCTTCGGGAAAAAAAATACGATTTACAAAATATTCAGATATCATTCAAATTACGAAAAAATCAAATAGATTCTATTTTTTTCAATTAATTATTAATTTTTCATTAAGTATAATAATACTAATAATAATAAGTCTATGAATTAGTGTCAAAATGAAAAATAAATTAAATTTTTATTTATATAAAATGTTTACAAATTTATAGAATTATTTTTTAAAATAAAAGTGTGACGTATGTTGTTTTTTTAATATTATAATAAGATTACTCGTGCAAGAAAATTTCGTAATGAAGTTTTTCTCATACAGAATAAAAATTTTCTTTTATATATGTGCGTATACAAAGGGGGAGGAGACATCAACAAGTAGTTCTCCCTCTTATCCTTCTTCTTCTTTTGTATAAATTTCAAACAACGAGACTCTACTTGTGCAGGATCTGGCAAAATGGGAGAGAGCTTGAATTAAGTGGGAAAACTTCGTTAAAAATACCACACCAGGTAAGGGAAAATTTAATTCATTTAATATATGAGACTAAATTGTTGAATACTCTATGGATAAGGAATAAGAGTGAAAATCTGAACATTAGAATGATTGATTTTAAAGATTTCTCATGTTTTGCAAAACTTGAAATTTTGTTGGAGTTCTTGAAATTAAGGATGAATTATATGGTAAAATTGTTGTTTTCAACTTAAATTAGATATAAGTCATGTTTAATTTAAATTTGGGACTAGTTTGGTTGTCTAAAACTGAGTAGTTTGAAATATGCTAAAATCTGCAAAATTTGATATTGTTACTGGCGCGAGGAAGAAGAAAGGGACATGGAAAGAATTTTCAAAAATGTTCAAGGGTAAAATAGTCATTTTCGGGACATGGAAGGAATTTTCGAAAATGTTCAAGGATAAAATAGTCATTTTTGGGACATGGAAGGAATTTTCGAAAATGTCCAAGGGTAAAATAGTCATTTAGGGACATACATGGAATTTTCATAAAAGATTAAGGGCAAAATAGTAATTTAATGATTTCGGAAAAGACTTTGGAAATGATTTCAGAAAAGAAGAAGGAGAATATATATATATATATATATATATATATATATATATTTAAAATATAGAATGAAGGTAGCAGTTTTAAAGATTCAGTAGTGTGTTGTGACGTGTGTGAGTCAAACTGAGTCTAAGGGTTGATGCCCATAGTCAGTCATGAGATGTTATGTATTAGCTAGACTGAGCCGAAGGGTTGGTGCCCAGAATCAGTCAAGTACTATTATTTATTGACTTGAATGAGCCGTGAGGACAGGTGGTCCAGAATCCGAAAAATGTGAATGATTTTTGTTGTGTTTGAATGATACTCGGGGTGGTACAGAGTACTTTAGTGTAATAACTATGTCGGAGGATTCTAAATGAGGTCCCAGACTTCACGGATTGGTCGGGTCAGGTAGACTACGAGATCAGGTGGTGAGAAGTCGATGGGGGGATGACTGGTGGCGCGCTCGGAGGGGTACTCCAGTATGAGTGATGAAGGGCGCTAGTAATCCTACTCTGTGTGGAGGGTGGTCAGAATGGTACTGCGGGTGCCGATCACAATGTGCCCACAGATGATAACCTCTGAGTTCGGGCATAGTTAGGATAAACTTCCGGAAGGCGTCTTAGTGTATTGATGATTTGTAATTGATGATAATATGTAATTATTACTTCTATACCTGTTTTATTATATCGAATAATTTAATACTTATCCCTATTTTCCCATGTGGATGAGACTGCGATGATCACTTTTATGTGGGAACAGTCAGGAGTTGAGAGGTGGAGATGCGACTACTAGACAACAGGGATAGTTCAGTGGAGTAGCTTTGTGGGAGCTACTTTTGCATGTATAATATATAAATAAATTATGTTACTATGTTTTGAGGTTCCACCAATGAATCAGAATTTCAGTCTATATTACAATTATAATAATATAATGTAATATAAATGTTGTTATTTACTTGTTTATTATTTTGCGAAGGTATCATCATAGAAACAATTTCTAAGGTCCTTACAATAGTGGTATCAGAGCGGTAGTATCCTTGTAAATCTGTGGGGATGGATAGTAACCCTATGATAAGTCCATTGTGATTATACTCTGATATGTGAGTGTGTGTGAATGTTTGCTCTGTATTGATTGTTGCGTTTGATATAGGATGACACTGCGACCTCCTACTCCTACTCCACCGAGTGTAGATGCCCTAGCCAGGGCAATGGAAATGTTGGCAGCTGTCATGCAGCAGCAGGCTACCTACCTGCAATGAAGGCCAACTATGACATCATCCTCTATTGGATTCCACCAATCAGAGCAGATGAGGCTGACTGAGTTCATGAGGCATAATCCGCCTCGTTTTGGAGGAGATTTGGGTTCAGATGCAACAGAGAAGTAGTTGCGTGAAGTGGAGAAGATTTTTTAGGATACCTTATGCCCAGAAGACAAGAAATTGACATTCGGAAAATACTTACTAATGGATGAGGCTGAGTTCTGGTGGTCAGGGACTCAATGGATGATGATTGCACATGGGGAGGTGTGTAATTGGGAAACCTTCCGTGAGAGATTTCTGGAGAAATATTTCCCTGACAATGTTAGATTTCATAAGGAGACTGAGTTCCTGAGTCTGAGAAAGGATAATATGACGGTGCATGATTACGTCGTATGATTTGAGCACTTATCTCGTTTCTACACAGGTACATCTTCAGAACAGTGGCTTTGCAGGATGTTTGTGGAGGGCTTAAGGGCTGAGATCAAACTCATGGTGGTTCCTTTCTCTATCAGGAGATTCCTAGAGCTGGTGGAGAAAGCAAAGACAATAGAGAGACTCCAGGAGGGAGGAGTCAGAGTGATGAGGACCCACCCAAGTGGGGTCCTGAGTGGGGGTAGTAGATCAGAGAGGAGGATGCCTTATTCACGCCCCCAGTCTTCCAGGAGTGGTAGTGTTACCCCAGCACTTCGATCATCGGGATCTGTATCCGGGGTGAAATGTTTTCAATGTGGAGGCCCTCATTACAGGAATCAGTGCCCATAGAATGCCTTTACTACTCCTTCCCAGACTTCTTGAGTAGGTCTTTGCTACACTTGCCAGAAGCCAGGACATATGTCTATAAACTGTCCACAAAAGCCTAGTGTTATAGTCTCAGCTGAGGCATCATTAGCACCCAAGGGGAGTGACGCGAAACCCAGAACTGCAGGACGGGTGTTTGCCTTGTTAGGAGCAGAGACATCGAGGTCAGAAAATTTAGTGCAAGGTGTGTGTTTTATCTCTAATATACCTCTACGAGTTTTGTTTGATTCAGGTGCTACCCATTCTTTTATTGCTGATAATTGTATGGATAAACTTAAGTTACCTATGTGTGACCTACCCTATGAATTGAGGGTATCTACACCAGCAACTGGACTGGTGGTGTCTTCCTATGTGTGTTTGAGGTGCCCAGTTGTCGTTGAAGAACGAAAGTACAAGATGAACTTAATCAGTTTACCTTTGAAGGATATGGATGTGATCTTAGGGATGGATTGGTTATCCACCAATCGCATTCTGATTGACTGTGGACAGAAGAGGTTGGTGCATCCGGAATCAGGAGATGAGCTTATTACATCAGCTCGACAGGTTCAAAAAGAGCTACGAAAGGGAGCTCAGTGTTATCTGATCCTGACTCAGATGGATGAAGTGAAGGATAATATCTTGGAAGAGGTACCGGTTGTGAGAGAAATTTCTGATGTGTTTCCAGATGAGATACCAAGGTTTCCACCTCAGAGAGAGGTCGAATTTGGGATTGATCTAATTCCTGGATCAGGCCCAATCTCTATGGCACCATACCGGATGACTCAAGCAGAATTGGCTGAATTGAAGAAACATGTAAAAGATTTGTTGGAAAAGAAGTTCATTCACCCAAGTGTATCTCCCTGGGGCGCTCTTGTATTATTAGTAAAGAAGAAAGATGAGAGCTCCAGATTATGTATTGATTACCAACAACTAAACAAGGTGACTATCAAGAACAAGTACCCGTTGCCGAGAATTGATGATTTGTTAGACCAGTTACAGGGAGCATCAGTCTTTTCTAAGATTGATTTGAGATCTAGATACCATCATATACTGGTTAAAGAAGAAGATGTACAGAAAAAGGCGTTTAGGTCAAGATATGACCATTATGAATATGTGGTCATGTCGTTTGGAATAACAAATGCACCTACAGTATTTATGGATTACATGAACAGGATCTTCCGTCCTTCTTTAGATAAGTTTGTTGTTGTTTTTATAGACGACATTCTTATTTATTCTAGAACTCGGGAAGAACACCAGGAACATCTGAGAGCAATGTTGGTTGTGTTAAGAGAGAAACAATTGTATGTCAAGCTTTCAAAATGTGAGTTTTGGTTAGACCAGGTGTAGTTTTTGGGACATGTAATATCGGTAGAAGGGATATCTGTAGATCCTACTAAGATAGATGCAGTGTTAAAATGGGAACCCCCTAAGACAGTGACGGAAGTGCGTAGCTTTGTGGGACTTGCAGGATATTACCAGAAATTTATAGAGGGTTTCTCTAAAATAGCAGCTCCTTTTACACAGTTGACCCGTAAGGATCAACCTTTTGCTTGGACAGATAGATGTGAGGAGAGTTTCCAGAAACTGAAAAGAAGATTGTCTAGTTCCCCAATGTTGGTGATCCCAGATGTGACTCAATCTTTTCAGGTATATTGTGATGCTTCTATTCAGGAGTTAGGTTGTGTCTTGATGCAAGATAAAAGGGCGGTGACATATGCCTCGAAACAACTTAGAATTCATGAGAGG